CCCGTGTGACCGGGGCCAGTCTTTCACAAGGTACCTTTGTCTTAAATAAGATGAATAATATCCGGTTATTTCCATAAGAGCATAAGCTGCCCATGTGTTTTGATCGATCTTGTTTAACTTTCAGTTTATTAATTTCTGATTAAAACATTCCTCTGTGCTTCTAATTCTTATATGCCATCAAGTCAATCAAGGTACAAAATACAGCTCTTGTGTCATCCTGTAAACACAGATATCATTACCAAAAGGCTGTTTTTTCTAAGAAGGGAGTCCTGTAATAATAATGAATTTAATTTCCACTCTTATTCCAGTTATTCATTTTCCATGCCGGTATTATAGGGGCGTGATCTGAAATTAATCATGAACCTATATTCATTTTTAACAAGAAGGAAGAGACAAAATTGTAATAGGATCTAGGGAATGCCCAACTTCTGTTTAGCTCTCAGAGTTTCAGCCAATTTCTAGTGTTCAAGAATAACGTTAGTCCTGCTATTCTGCCCCTGAAGTTCTAAAAATATGTATCTCCAACCATATTCATATCCTTTGCTAATATTCAACAAAATTCTCCTTCTCTAAATTTTATGACCACTTTTGTTGGTTTCCTAAACACCATCTATTTTCTTAATTGTGAGGCACAAACAAATTAATAATGTATGAATTTGAGTTTTTCTCTCTGATCATTTCATAACATATTTCCTTACCTTGGCATTCATCTTTAAATTCCCATAAAACACTCTCTGCGATAACAAGTCTGACTTCCCTAGCTTTATATTTGGAGCAGGAAAAGTACAGTTGACCTTTAATGCTATGCTCAGTAAGTGGTATGCCCTGATGAATCAAATTGTTTCTTGTAAGAAGATAACATCTGCTCTATGTCCTTAAAAAAAAAAGAGGATAGAACTTTTTTCTTTTAGTGGGGTGATTCGTGGTATTTACTTTTATAATTTCCTCCCCAATCTTTATCTGTTAGTGATGTTTTCATCCATCCAGATGTCTTGTTGACACATCCTTCTTATCACCTTAAGATGATAGTACTACTAAATGAGGCTCTTGTATTAAAACATTCTAAGGAATAGATAAGTCCACTGGTTGCTTGACATAAGATTTTATAAAGAGTTTGGTGTTGTGGGTAAATAGGTTATCTGCTCTTAAGGAAAGCTGGCCTAATTATGGAAAGAGGAACCCTTTGATAAATTGTTCATGTTACTTGCTCATGGCTACTTGAGATTTGCACTCCCAGACTACCCTACATTAACTCCACAGACATATGTTTCCAAGTACAACTTTATAAAAATCTGAAGCTTTTTATTTTCCATTTAGTTTAGCAAGTCCAGACATAAACATCTTACATTTGGTCTGTTATTCTGTTACTTTTATTTTTTTAGAGTCCTTTTACCAAAACCCATCTCTAGAAGATTGTTTAAAATATGTAAACACTAAAAAGATAAAATCATTTTCTGGAAATTATCAGATTTTTTTTTAAAAAATAAAGTGTTGAATTTGTTATGACTTCTGAAGATAATTTGTAAATTGCCTGGAAACAGAGCTGCCGGGATTTTAAATTGCTAAAAAGAAAACTCAGTAATTTCTCCCCATTTTTTCCATATTTTTTTGTTTATCAGGCTCACTATCATTTCATCAAATTTTAAGTTTCTTCTGAGCTGTGCACAATTTGTGAATTGGACATGGCCTGAGAAATTGAAGTTTCTGTACAGTGAAACATGCCTTCTGAAAGTTGGTCACAATACCAATTAGGTTACTGTTTTGATCTGGGTTGTTTATTATGCAACCCATGAAGTACAGTCACAAAGCTGCCAAATCTGTATGCAAGACCAAGCAATGTGCCTGTAGCATTCCAAAATATATAATCAAGCATATTGGAGTTACTGTATTGGCATACCTGATCATGCATGTCCCAATAGATATTTTACCTTCTGATCTGTAGAGCCAACAAGGGAGTGGGCAATACATGGACTTCCTGACTTCTTGGTTCTGTAAATTGTCTCTAAAAACACAGAAATAAATGTGGGTGATGGAAAGACTACTCAGTCGTAGTACCTCTTACTTTTGTTTCTGGTTTAGCAGTGCATGTCTTCTCAAAGGGCATTAAAGCAGTAATCACAGCTCTGAAAGAAAAAAGATCAGTTATGATTTCTGATAAGCCATTAGCACTATTTTAAGGAAAAAAAGATCACAGTGCCACAAGTACCCTTCCTTGATTAGGAAGTTAGTTTAACAATATATGACAGCAGTATGTACTATGTACTTCCCAGCAATCAAACTTCCCTAAGCAGGTATAAATTGATTGCACTGCTACAGATAGATAAAACCAAGTTGAAGAAGTTTTGCAGACTCTGCTTTTCTCACAAATAGCAAGCTTTTTGGACACTATTCTGTCTCCATTCCTCACTAGTTCCTTTTTCTAGTTATTAGAACCCTAACTCAGTGTAAAATGCTGATAAATAACATTGGTATCTGAACAATTTAGTCCTGCGCTAAATATTGGAGAATCTACATAAAATGAACTATAAAACTAGTTCACAGGAGCACACATTAGGACAGGTGGAAAGCATTTGGGATGGACTGGCTGAGGGGGATTTTGAACCTAACCACCAACTAAATTGCTCTATGCCTCATTATCTTTAGTGCCACACTTTTATCATTCCCAATAGTGGAGACACAAGTGGGAATGTCTCCTACTGCTGATAACAAGAGAAGAAGGAGAGATCCAGTCTTATCAACTGGTGCACTGATTCTCCCTACATATTAATCAATGTACAGGAACTCAACCTTGACACTCAAGCTTATGGAGTTCAGTTACCCTTGCAGGCTGGGCAAAGACAGAGAATCTCTGGCACAATGAACTTACATATTCTCTTATACCTCCTCACTAGGCATCTCCTGATGGACCAGCTTGGTGCTGGTGGCTTATATTAACTTTGCCCCTTGATGTGACCCGCAAGTTGGCTGTCTTTTCTGACACATCCCTGAAGAGCCGACTCACTCAGCTGAAGAATATTCTGAATGTCGTTTTGGAAAGCAGCGAATTCAATAGCTAGCTCTCCAGTGTCATCCTGGGAAGAATGCTGTGGCACAAAAGGAGCAAATTCTGCACTGTATTCCCCACCATTTTTCTTGGTGGGGTTGAAGCCTTAACTTTTTTTTGTTTTTCTTTTTGTTCTCTGTGCGTACATGTGGGGTTTTTTTGCTGTAGACCTGACCCCAGCAATAGGCAATGAATCAGCAAACTGAAACCATGTATGAAACAGTAGCAAGTTCCAGTAATGTTGGTGCACCATCCACAGAGAGTCTTTAATTGACCTTGTTAGGCATAAAAGGCAGTGGGTCTAGAAGTGACATTTGCCGAGGCACCTGACTGGCTTACCTGCCTTGCACTAAATGAAGAAATAGCTGCTTCCTCAGGCAAAAGGCATAGAGTCCTAGGTCTTGGGTCTTACAAATGGGTTCTGTGTATGCTAGATCCTTAAAAAAGAAACATCTTTAGAAAAGGCTGTCACATTTGAGTCTCATTTACTGTTTTGTTACAGATGTGCTCATTACTTATTTGTTTTGGTCTATATGTTGCTAAAATGATCTTTCTGGAAGGCTAAAAAAAGTTTGCTTGAATAGTATCCAGTCAGACTAGGATCTCAGAAACCCAGGTTTGAATCTTCCTTCTGCTTGGTGACCTTGGGCCAGTCACACACACCCAGCCCAACCTATCTCACAAAGGCTATTGTGAGGATAAAATGGAGGAGCGGGAAAACAACACAAGTCATTTGGGGTCCCTTCTAGGGAGAAAGTGGAGTATAAATGAAGTTCATACATAAACATATGATCGAAAAATTCAAACACAAGAAATTTCTTGAAATGCAGATGTTTATATGAAATAAAAAATGTTTTGGAATCCAATGCTGTCCACCTTTAAAAAAAAAAAGTTCTAAAAAAGTATAGATTTTTGCCTTTTGAAGTTGGTATTTATCTGCACAGACCGTACCACAAATTGCAGTGTAGTATGAAAGGAGCTGTGGGGCTGCCTTTATAGGTGTTATACAAGACAAGCTACTCATAATTTTTTGTTGTAATAGGGAGTGGTTGCTCCTGAAATATTTGAAGCACTGGAGAAATGTTCACATTGACCACACTCTCCCCATACCCTTTAAATGCTAAGAAGTGTCATGGCTTATTTACAAAAATAATTTTTGAGAACAGCATCAATTTATCTGTTTTTTAAATTCCCAACACAAGGTTTTCAGATTGACTAGCTGATGGTTAACAGCAGGATTGGGAAGCGTATGGGTTTGGGGAGGGGTGGT